TCAGAAGTACAGGATGCTCCGTCTCTAAGCCAATATTTAAAATGTGATAGTCACCCCCGCTGAAAAGCAACATGAATTATTATTTCACTATTTCTGTACTGCCAAATACCCCAGTAACAGTACTACAAACAATGACACTTTTTGAACAAAACAGTCTCCGCAAGCAGGAAGCCCTGAAATGCTGCTTTAATTTACAGTACTTTCGAACAGAACTCTTTTGGGGCAAATCCCACAGCCACACAGTCGAGGGCTTTCACTACCGAATTCAGTCGTTACTGGGACGTTATGCCCTTAATGCACAAGGAGAAGTATTTCTTACCACGCCGGCTTTCTGACAGTTGAGCAACACCCACCACTGCCACCTTTTTTTTTTTTTAAATTACGTCTTAAAATTACCAAACTAATTAAATTTACATTTTCTACATTTCCTGTCATTGTTCAAAGTAGTTTAAAGCAGAAGCCTGCCTTTCTATTGGGCTTTCTTCTTCTGCCAAACTCATCTCCTGAACCCCACATTTAATGGAAGGGTTAGTTCTGTATTGTGTATGATACAGAAACAGTATGAAAATAATAAAACTTCTATTTAAAAACCACAAACATCTTGGTGGTCAGCATCGTTACGAGAGGAAATACAGATTACAGGGCATCTTAAAATATGCGTGTTTGCTGGCAAATGACAACAGCTTTCTAAACAAACTGGAACAATGTTGAAATGTGACAGCTTCATACACAACATTGTTTTAAAATAGTCAGTACCAGCTGTTCAGAGTGGCTGTATTTTTGGGGCCATATACTACCTTTTACAATATAAAAACAAGTCTACTTGGCACACGAAGAAAGTGCCCCTCTTGGCAGCACTCCCCACTCTGCATCAGTTCAGAAGATTTAAAGTCCTAACCAGGCTTTTCAAAATTAAACCCGCTGATACGTTATTTTTCATACACGTTAGCTACCAGCAAGCTTTCACGGTAGCTTTTTTCCGTCACCAGCCTCTTCTCTGCTAATGGTTCAGCTATCGCTGGAAATCTCATCACATTGGATAGTTTACTGAAAACTTTTTATTGTAATCAAAAAGTGACATAACAGGGCTGTAATGTATTCTGCAAATCATTCTGCTGATATTTTATAACTGATACCAGCTTCTTCTGCCAGGCAATTAAAAAAAAAGTCAAATGTGAAAATTTTCACAGTACAGTAAACTCCACCCAAACTAATTAACAGTGGTTAAAAATAAGATGCCCCAGCAAAACCTTTCATGTTACATGGTCACAACTCACAATTCTGTACAAAATGTTCACTTTTATAAAGCTCTGATGTAAAAATCAAATAATCAAGCAGCAATATTTTAAGTGCAGCACAGGGTCTTTCATGTCATTATTTACAACGCTCGAATTCGTTTACATTTTAACAAAATTTAATACAGATGACTTAGGAATTAAGTCATTTTTTTGTTATCTGTCATTCTATGTAGTGACAGATTTCACTTTTTGGTCATCTTTCTCTTTATCTTTGCTCTTCTTTGATTTCTTCTTCTTGTGTTTGTGTTTTTGGCTCTTTTCCAATTCCGTTTCATTTCCAATGTGTTTCTTATGCTTCTTGTGTTTCTTATGCTTCTTGTGCTTCTTTTTCTCTTTTTTCTTCTTCTTTTTCTTGCTGTCTTGACTCTCTCCTGAGCTGGCACTGCTGCTGTGGCTTCGAGTCTGACTCTCAGAAGGGCTTTGACTACGGCTGCGGCTAACGCTGGGGCTGCTTTGACTTTGACTTCGGCTTGCTTCAGGCTGGTCAACTGCAGCAGGTGCTGCCGTATCCTCTTTCACCTTATCAACAGCCTTTTCTTTCGGTTCTTTAGGATTTTTTCCTGCAGCGTCCTCATCTTTTGCAGATACATTACTCTCACTGTCACTTTCATTGTAGTCTGGTACAAACGCAGCCTCATCGGTCTCTCGAGTTAGATCGGAAGCGAGCCGCGAGGAGCTGCTTACCTGAGGCTTGGGCTTGACAACACTTTTATCGTTTTGTCCAGTCACGTTCTCTTTCTCATTTTTTACTTCTGGTGATTCTTGTCTCAAAGGTGGTTTATTACCACCTGGCTCTTTCTCTTTATTGCTCTTTACTTCTGGTACATGCTTCTCTTTCTCTTTTCCTGAATTTTTATCTAGAGGTTTGTGTTCCTCCAACGTACGCTTGGAATCATGAGCAGCTTTGTGATCAGACTGCTTCCGCTCACGCGGAGGACTGTAGCTGCTCCTTTTGGCATCTCCAGCGCCCTTTTTGGACGGCTCTGCCCGTTCATCTCTCGGCTTACTTTTCTGTACTGATGTAGATTCTCTGTTTCGAGAAGGGGAGTCTTTTCTCCTTGCTAATTCACTCTTTTCATCCCTACGCTTGGAACTAGAATGATCTCTGTTGCCATCATGGTCAGATTTTTTGTCTCGGTTAGGAGTAAATTCTTTAGCAGTGGATCCACGGCCAGTATCATGTTTCTCTGAAGATCTGCTCTCTTTGGAAGACTGAGAAGTATTTTTTCCATTTCCTTGCTCAGTTGCACGTTCTGAGTGGTCTTTTTCTGGCTGAACACTACTCTTTCTCTTCTCAGAAGCGTCCTTGTCCGACAAAGAATGATCCCGGTCTTTGGTTTTTCCTTTTTCATTCGACATTGAACTTTTTGAACTTTTTGCATCGTGCTGGGAGCTTTCATAACTTGCCTCTTTTGTAGTTTTCTGTGTTTTCTCCAAAGGCTCCGTCTCTTTTTCATTGTGTTTTATGGGGTTCGGTGGCTTAGCACTCACATTTTTTATAACACTAGCAGGTTTTCCTATGTTTGTGGGCACCTGGGTAGATTTAATGTCTTCCTCTTCAGACTCAAAGTCATCTTTATCCCACTTGGACTGAGGGACCTGGATCATAATAATGACGTCTTCAGCAGGGGCTGTTATATCGTTATTATACTCCTCCATGGTCTTAATGACAGTTCGTTTTGTATCTGGCTTCTCTTCAGTCTTTCTAACGGGGCTTCCTCCAGTAGAACTAGTGCTAAGAGGAAAAAAGCATACATTAATAACGGGTGAGATACACGCACTGCCATCTTTTCTAACATTTTATAAAATGGTTTTTGTTTCAATTCTAAATCTTCAGTATTTTTTCAAAAGATGTTCCAATTAGGGGAACAGACAAAAGAAAGGGTGAGTCCACTAGCCAAGATGAGCAATCAATCGGTTAATTTAGTATCTTCCTACTATACATTTAATTAACAAAGACACAAGATTATCAGACTGGGGACTGTCTGATCTGGTAATTCCTTCATGTCCTATTTCTACCGATGGCAGATAAATTAGATATACATTCTTGTTTCAACATGTAAGCAAGCAATTATGGAGAGGTATACACAACCAAAGTTCTATCCTCATGTCCCAGTGTTGTTCTTTAGAAAAATGTGCATTTGAAAAGCTTTTTAGAATATCAAGACACTCTCTTAAGTCTCCAGCGATGTCTTAAATGTTTTGAGTTTGCTTAGTCCTGCTTCTTTAGACACTGAAATGTAAGTAATAACAGCTCCACACCAGATCACTTTTTCCCCCCCCATGTCACACAATGGAATGCTGAAGAGAGATCTCCAAGGTAAGTGCCAAAAAAAGTTGGCACTGAGCTGGAAGCAGTGTAGCTGTGTCAACGCGGCACTGTGCTCAAAGCTAAAATCACAATATATTGGCAACCAAGCTGCTATTTCTGCAAGGTATAATTTCATGTCATACTGATAAAAGTAGATCATTACAGTACCTTGCAATTTTTAAAATGCAAAATATTGCATGGTACAGACATGTCTGTTATCCTTGCCTTTAGCAGTAAGTTGGATTTGAAGGGAGACGTAGAAGGGACTCCTCGAAGAGTCAACACGTAATGAATGAGAGGAAAAAAGTCCCAGAAGTAAGGGTCAAACACGTCACCAATGAATTAACCTTATTAGCTTTCTGTGCAGTACAGACTGCTTGTTTTCTTTAATAAAATTTGATTTTGACCCAAGTACAGTTTAACAGGGAAGATCACAGATTATTCACTTGTTCAGCACAGATTTAGCTGTTCCTTTCATTAGTCACCATAAAGAGTTTTACATTTTTTGCAGGGGGGAGGAGGAAAGAGACTAGAAAACGAAACTATGAGGTACCTGGTATAATCTACAAGAGTTGAACTAGATCCATCAGCTGCTGTTACTTTTCTTCTCACTTTTCCCTTCGCTTTTTCTTGTTTAACTTTGCTGCTGCTCGGCTCAGGTTTCTCAACAGGTTCTTTTGCAGGTGGCACATTTTCTCCACTCACAATCTTTTTGCCAGTTTCCCGGTTAAGTTTAATCTTTTTTGCGGGGTTGTTAAGAAAAGCAGATTTATCCTTTTCTGGAGTTCGCTCTCCTTTTTCGCCATCAGGCTCGGTCTTCCCCTTCGGTGACGTTTTCGATTCAGCAGTTTCTGGTTTAGAGGCCTTTATGGAAGTGGCTTCATGTTCTTTATCAACCTTTTCATCTGCTTTTCTTTTTCTTTTTTCAGGTTTTGCATCAGAAGGTTTGCTTTTTTCGGCAGGTTTTTTTGACTTGTCCTCTTTGTTGGACGGCTTCTCCGACTTGGTTTCTTTTGGATGGTCCTTCTTTGCCTTTTCCTCCTTGGCTGGTCTGGTTTCTGGGTGATCTTTTGTCACTTTTGGGTGAACTTTCCGTGGGGTACCAAGAGCCTTCTCATCCTTTTGAGAGGAAGATGTTTTAACACTGTCGGTCTTTGGCAACTCCTCCTTCACTTTTTTCACAGGAGGTTCTGTTCGAGGCGATTTTTCACGATCGGTGTCCACCTTCTCTTGGGACGCTTTAGCTGGTTTTATTATATTGTCTTTCTTAGGAGGAACAGCCACTTCCACTTTCCGCTTTGTCTTGTCAATTTTTGCTTTTGGCTTATCCTTTTCTTTTTTCTCCTTTTCAGACACCGGTTTGAAAGCAATAGAATCTGCTTCCATAGGCTCATCCCTCACAGGGGTGGCATCATCTCTGCTTGGAAGCATGAACAAAGAGTCTGTTTTAACATCTTCTGCTGTAACTGGCTCTCTTGGTTTTCTTGCACCTTCTAACAACTCAGTATTGGGAAACCCTTCATTCTCATCCCCTTTTCTTCTCTTCCGGTGTTTTTTATGCTTATTTCCTTTACCATCTCCAAGTGGATTTTCCACCTCCTTCTCTTTTGATTTTGTAGGATCTTTGATGCCATGGCTCTCTCTTCCAGAAGGTTTTTCAGGGTAATTTCCAGCTATATTACGATTTCTGTGGCTCTGCCCACCAGGATAATCCTCCCTACGTCCCCGAGCATATGGCGAATTCTCTCGTCTGGTCCCAGGTGGACCAAACCTCTCTGGAGAAAAGTTCTCCCTGTTTACTGGAGGTCGAGGTTGAGCACCAACAGCATAGCCCTTGTAGAACTTTTCATACCATTCTCTATAGTTCCGTTCCCATTCTCTGTATCTTTCCTTTTCAAATGGATCTCGAAAGTCAACAGATCTGCCATAGTAAGCCTTCATATCATATGGTGGAACTTCTCTGTATCTGTTAAAATACTCCCTTTCTCCTTCCCCTTGAGGTATAGTCCGTTTAGTGGGAGACTGGCCTCTAAACACTGGAGACCTTGACCGTGAATGGTATCTTCTGTATGGGGGTGACCTTGACCTTGAGCGGTGATAACCATGAGACCTTGACCTAGAACGATAGTTACGACTCTTCCCTTTGCCTCTTCTTGGATACGGTGGTGATCGCGAGTAGGAACGAGAATGGGAACGACTAAATGATCGAGAGTAGGAGCGGGAGCGGGAAGAACCTGATCTTGACTTGGAGTAGGTATACGAACTTCTAGAGTAAGACGAAGCACTATAGGGAGACTTGGACCTTAAAAAAAACACAACACAAAAAATAAATGGAGTTAATTCAAAACAGTCACTCTTCCCAATCTTTTTCCTCCCAAATTTGGTTTGGTTTTTTTTTTTTCCTCTCCATATGCTTATGTCAAAGCTTCTTTCAGCTGCTGACATAATACTACTGCAAATTGAAGAACTTGATAACACGTAAAAGTTTCTGCTTATGTCACAGAACAGCTGCTGCTTTGTTAGTGTAAAAACATACAGGAAGGGTAAGTCTATTTCCACTCACTTCTATCACATGAACTACCACAGCTACTGATTGATTTAAGGTGGTGTATACTGGCCTCTACTGGTACGTGAACGCGCACATTTTTCACTACTCAGCAACTACATGCAGTGCAAATCATTTTTGTTGCAGTAAGATGCAAAAAGAGCAAGTCTTAATGGCTACAGTGCAGTATCAAACATCAAGAAAACACGATTTAGCCTGAGACAGTAAAGCTCAACTTTAAAATGCCAGCTTAGTCTATTTAATTTCACTACTTATTTGGCAATTTGTACAGGATGCAAAATACTTGTACTGCAATATTTCATACAGGACTATTTAATCAACACTTCTAGCCAGATGTCCTAGCAAAATTTTGCACATACCTCTAGCTCTAACCGAGAATAGTGACCACATTTCAAGAAAAATCCTATCTAAAAGCTTCTGAACTCAGCCTCTAGTAATATGACTCAATGCCATTACTCCAGAAAAGATACTGACAGCATTACTAAGAGAGCTATTCAGACTCCTGCCCAAGTGATTTTTGGGGATAGAAAACATCAGGTACCCTGAGTTTTTTTCTTCACAAGTTTTTCTTTTATTATTTTTTAAAGAACCATTTCACATTATTCTGCATATGTTCATTAGCATCATTCCTCCTCTAGAAGTCCTTCACCAATTTAAGACTTGCTTAAAAACAGGTCTGATCTTTTAATTCCTAAGAAAAATTTAACAATGTCAACAAAATACTAGCATAAGCCACCAGTCTGCAGTCCAGGTTAAAATCTCTCCGTGTATCCATATGAGTTAAAAGAGGAAATGAAGACAATTTCTCTCACATATCTCCTCCGAAGTGCTTTGAGGTAGTGGTTACAATCAGAATAGGGAGACGCAGAAAATCCAGCAACTACACCTATTCAGTTTCTAGCCTCCTCGTGGTTGTCAGGAGGTGAAGGATGTCATTGCAGAGAAGCTTTAGTAAGAGACGCCTGTTCCTTAACAACTGCTGCCAAATTATAACTATCAGTCAACTGTAATCTCTGCTATATTTGAGCTAGTAACCTACATACGAAACTCCTATCACTGCTAATCCCTTGAATCATTCAATCCATCTAACGATAGAGAGGTGGAGTGAAACTCCTCCTGATTCTTCTAGACAATCTGCTTCTCCATTACGGACATGTAAAGCAGTTACCTGGAAAACGAACGCCTACGCTCCTTTTGAATCTTTTTATATTCCATCAATTCCTTAGCAAAATCATTTGTAAACTCATCAAGTTTGGACTTTTTCTTTTCCCTGTTAAAATAAGTTTGACCTTTATTACAATTATAGTTTGACCTTTATTACAAAAAGACATCAAGAAACAAAACATGGCCAATATGAGAAAATGTATACTGCATGCAAATGCAAAAGGTGAACATCCTATTTAAGCAAAAACAGTTTAGAATTCCTATAAGTTATAGGGAAAGTTTTAGAATTACATTTGTCTTGTTTTAATTTTGTATGTTTACCATCTGCAACGAAAAAGTATATTGGAAAAAACACTATGTCATTTTTGCTTATGTCAGATGCACTTTAGTGTAACTGCAGTCCGATATGCTACCGAAATACAAAAATGAAAAACAACACAACTTCACTGAGCCAAATACTTACTCCTCTTTAAGTCTCCGTTGTTCTCTGTAAAACTCCTCCCTAGATAAAGGAGGTGCCTGTGTCGTTGGGATGGTATTTGAATGAGCCGTTTGCACTGCTGTTGGTACCCAAGCTGATGACATGTTTGCAGGAGCTGGGGGATATCCTGGAGGGGGGACAGTGTACCCAGCAGATGGAGGCTGACCCGGTGGAAACTGAGGAGGAAACTGTGGTGGTGGCACCCCCGGTGGAAGAGGAAGTGCGTGGGGTGGTGGAGGATACAAGGGAGGTGGAGGCACAGGCACAAAGACTGGTGCTGATGCTGGCAGTGTTGGGGCCTGAGTCCTTTGGGCACGTTCGCTATGCGGGCGTCCTCGATTTGAACTAAAGAAACCCAAAAACATGCGTCACTGTTTGTTACGCTCTGCCCTGATTTTAAAGAGGAAAGCAAATGAAGCAGGAGCATGGTGGCGAGCACTTCTTGTTCTCAACTTAAGCATTTTTCTCCCTGCTTTCTCTTCATTTGAGGCTACGCTCATTCTTGATCCTCATACTTGCCTTCCACATTCTCACCCCCAACAGTTCCCTCAGTCTTCTCTCCTTATACTCAGCTTTGCAACGGTGGGTGGAGGCTGCCCATGCTTAAGAGACTCCCATCTCCCATGTGCCAAGTGCCCACTGCTCCTCTGCCACTCCTTGATATGCTTAATACTTCACACTTGTGATCTTCAAAGTACTGCACAGCTATTAACTAATCTCTCCAACTTCTCTTAACGTCTCCCACATACACTTCCTATGTTGTTGCCTCATGATGATGTAGTTGGCCTCTTCTTGACCCTGAATTGTTATTTCCTTGCTTACTGAATTTGAGATTTTAGATAATCTGTGGGATGGATCCTAGTTTTTGGTTTGATTTATCTTTAAGATTTTATAAACACAATGCTCCCTTACAATCTATCTATAACAAATATGTACCAAAAGGAAGGACTAACTTGACACTGCAATGATAGATGAAACAGACTCCTCTCTCTCCAACTGAGAGAAAGCAGCTTGGCTGTTTGAGATGACTAAACTGAAGAAATTTAGAATTGTCATAAAATAACAGCGTTGACTTTTCCAACAATTTGCTCAATCAGTATCAACTAAGTTGTTAAAGAAAGAATGTTGGAGGCTGATTTCTATTGGGAAATCAATTTCTTCAGCCCTGTTCAGCCAGTAATCAAAAGGGTGGCTTTCCATCTGATCTTTTAATTATACTTAATTTTTATATGTAATTATGGTTTCCTCAAAAAGCGTTCCTTTTTCAGAGTCCTCTTTTCAATTATGTACTGGAGTTTTACTTTAAATAATCTTGCTGCAAGCACAGATCCCCTTTTTTAAAGCTAATTCAAATTAAGCCATTCAAAAATTAATTACCACTTGTATTCTCTACAACTACCTGTGCATACTTATTTCATGATAAATCAGCTGTTGTATAAGTTATGTGTTACGGCCTCATTTAACAGGTTACAAGTAGTAATATATTGAATTTCTGTAGAATACTTACAGTTCCCAGCCTGGTCTGCCACCTGCTGAGCGAATTGTACCGGCTCTCATTGGATGACCTTTTGGTGTGGAGAGGGAAAAAAGAAAAAAAAGTGTGGAGAGGGAAAAAAAAAAAAAAAAAAAAAAAAAAGAACCCCATTCAGTTTATCTGAAGGTAATTTCTTAAAAGAAATTCTGAAGTTACAGTTACTTACCAGTTGTGGGTATTGATTGTCCTTGTGGGCCCAGAAGACTTGGTAATGCTGGTTGTCTTAGTACAGGAACCTGATAACCCTTGTGAATAAATGCAAACAGTTAGAAAATAAGCTCTACTAGAATACAAGAATCATTGCATATGTTGAAATAAAATTTACCTTCTCTTCCAACAAACTGCTGATCGACAGAGAGGAAGATTTAGAGAGTTCAGCGGCAGTCACCAGAGCAGCAGGAGGTATAACAGTATCGGCATCACTACAATAAAAACCCAATGTTTTATTATTCAAACATTGTTTTGAAGTGCTACTTGAAATATAAAGTCCAAGGTGAGAAAAGGCTGACTACTGTAAATGGGGGGGTGGGGGGAACTTCACCAGATTTACAAATGTGAAGTTGGCCGATTCCAAATGAAGCACTGATGAGAAATCTGTTTGGGACTACTGGCATTTAGAAAGGAAGCTCACTGGAAAAATATTTTAAGCTAGCTGCACATGAAAGGATTAGAGTATGTATAACCCACTCACTGAATCTGAGTTTTGGAAGATGCAAGAACTGAAATTCTATTAGGAAATGTTTATGTGCTAGTTCAGAGGCTGCCTTAGAGGTTCTTTTGAATGGTGATCCTTTGTATTCAACGGTACAGCTGAGCCTGACAGTCTTCTGGACAGAGCAGCTACTTACATTCAAGGCATAAAGCTGAAAGGATACAAGCCCTAAAGAATAGTACAGACTTTTAATGTATTTTCATGAGACTTCATGGGGTCGCAAACTTATCGACTTTCATGTTTGTAAATACTTCAAATTTACAGTGTCTCAATGTTTATTACGCATCACTGACTGCACTGTGTATGACTGAGGGTGACTGACTTATCACATAGATGATAGAAATACTGTAGAAAAAAGTAATGTGAAAACACCTGGTCAATTTTACCTATAATCATGCTTTCACACTTTTAATGAAAATATTATTTCCTCAGTACGAAAGAGAAATTAACGCACTCAAGAAGGTTTGACATAACTAAATGGTTACTTTAGGAATTGCTAGCCACTTAAAATCCAAGGGCTCCTGGGGAAAAAAAGGCTCCTCTTTCAGGGTAAACCTGTACTGAATGACTGATAAGGGAACCAAACAAGAAATACTTCTGAGAAAATTCTTGCATGAGGTGCACTTCCAACTTATCAAAGCGTCCTCATTCAAAGTAAAAAAAACCCAGAACTTTCACAATTATCTGGAACTGTCGCTAATGATATATAAATCACTGAGAAGCTCAAGAAGAAGAATAATCTAACTAAGCATTTTGGTGTCTTTTATATTCATGTTGATCTACAGATTTACTTACCGAAAAGGTCCATCTGGCTTTTCACCACGAAGAGATAGGGACACTGCTGGAGGGAGATCAGAGACAACAACAGAAGACGGGTTTACTGGCAGCCCAGCTGCCACAGGTGACTGACCAGGGGCCAACGATGACAAAGCAGCAGCAGAACGAGAAGCCAGAGAAGCTAATGGAATCATTAGTGGATCCTGCTGTCTGGAAATTGTTGGCCGGAGTAGAGGCTGCAGGTTGCGCGTTATTGTTTGTCTCATTAGGGGTGGTGGAGGTGGCGGTGGTGGTGGTGGCTGCTGCTGCTGCTGCTGCTGAATCTGCTTACGGAGCCTTTTTGTGTAGCCAGTTTCATTTTTGAAGTTGTTCACAGCCTAGAGGAGGAAAAACATTTACAGAAAGGTAACATGAAACTTCAGTAGATATATGAACAAAAGCCTCCACAGAGTAAAATTACTTGTGTATTGCTGTAAATGCTATTAATCCTAAAATAAATCAACATACAGATATACGAACACACCACATTAGACACGGATATTAATAATTGGTAACTCAGAGTATCTGTATTCAAAGTACTTCAGTGTTAACACCAAATTTGAAAGCGAGGCAATCACGTAAAACAAGAGTGCGACCTGAATTTGCCAGATTGTCTCTAAAGAGTTGTAAGCTTCTGTAACAATAGATAATGTATTTGAAAAGTAAATTTAGCCTTGTTCAATTTAGCCTTGCTTAAGGAGATGTAAGTTAATATTTTCTTCCCTTTCAGCTTTTTACAAATAGACTTTTCTTACAAAAAGTTTACGTAAAAGTCATCACATTACCTGGCGTAGGAACTTGTTGGCAATTAAAGCATCAGGAGAAACGTCTGTCTGATGACATGTTGGGCACGTATGTTCCTCAGACTCCAGTAGTGCTGTTCTAATACCTGTGAATAATTAGAATCATTGGAACAGTTTTTAGCCAAACCAAGGAAATTTTTTGGGTTCTAATCAATTATAAAAACATGTATATGATTAATGGCTGGATATGGTCTTGAATTGAGAGAATGAAGCTATATATGTTCAATAGTGCAAAAAAATTTCTAGTATGCAGCAAATAACGATAGTTTTGATATTTCACCATTGTAACATTTGAAGATGTGGAGTAGGCTGTGTCTTGACGTTTCAACTAGTCTTTTTTCCACTATCTAGTACAGTGAGAAGTCAACAACCTCAAGGTTAATGAATAAAACACATCTCAGAATTAATGATTAGCAGGTTTGAGTTCTGAAGGTTTTAACCAACTCTTCCATGGAGAAGCATGTGGATTAAACGCCTAACTATCCGTTTGTTGCAGACCACAGTTAAGTCACCAGAGTTGGGTATGTAATTTGGTATGAAAGGGCTGTGGACAAACTAAATGCATTTGATATCCAATACTGTAATCACCTGCACAATTATGCACTCTTCTCATACTCATCCTTCCGCATGTGAAGAGGATTTAACTAGATACACAAGAAGGGAAAAAAGCTTTCTGCCCTTTTTTTTTTCCTTTATATGGGAAGAGTCCTTTCCTATTCAGGGTATACTCAAGTATTAAATAGAACTGGTTACAAAGTCATTTCATTATCTCCTATTTCTGCTTTCAGAAGATCAGAGCTGATGTTTTGAATTAACAAACATGGGAGTAACACTTACATTCATCACAATAACTGTTTCCACAGCAGGGAATAACAACTGCATCAGTCATTATATCTTTACAAATGAGACATAACAACTCATCTGGAATAGGGTCATCTTCTTCTGAGGAGGAGGACGGCTCCTCTGGTAAAAAGGGAGGCTTCTCCTTCTTTCCTATAGCATAAGCTTCCCTGGAGGGGGAGTGAGGAAAGACAAAGAAAAAAGTTAAAGATAGGTAAAGGGAAACTTTTCCAAGCTTTGATTTTATCAAAGGAAGATAATAGATGGAATTATTCTCACTCCACATCACCCTTCTAAAACACAAGCATTTAGTTTAAACTACTTTTCTATAGCCAGAACACTAGAAGAGGGAGGGGGAACAATTTTCCTTCTGCAGAACTCTCCCATTCATTGGATCAACTAAGAAATTAGGTCAGACTAGAAAAATACTTTTTTGACAGCTAGAAATCAGGTGAAATGAATCCCACCTCTCCTCTGCCAGCGGGTAAATGTAAACTGCAGGCTCAGGATAAAACTAGTCTCTCAGTAATTACATTTTACAAATGAAAGAAGTCTATGTTACAGCTTCTACAAGAGGAGATCCATGACAGAAAAACAGAGTGCTACCAAGTGCGTTTTAAAACAGCCACTGTTCTCTCAGCACACAGTAGTATTTTCTTAGTTTATAACAACAGGAAAACTTCAGTCTGTTTCACACATGGGATTTAAGAAAAGTCAGAGGGGGAGGAAATCTCAATCCAACGGCTATTTGTTAAATTTTGCAAGGAGCCTTTGAAACATAAAACAGAAGCAAAACGAGCTTTCAAAGAGAATGATTCCAACTATAAACGCTACTGAAATGTTTTGCAGAAACACAGATTCTTGGCATACCACAAGTTTAACGAACTTCCAGGAGTATTAACAATAGGATCACCCTATTATTAATACTAGAAAGCATCACAGATTTTAAGGTTAAGATACAACGACAATGCTTCCTCCCCTGTCATTACAGACAGGGGCCAAATTGGTTGCATTGCCACTTGGACATTTACGCATGTTCTCTCGTTCACTTTTTGCTCAGTCTGATTAATTCCATACTTACGCATCAATAGTTGGTATTGCATATTTTCCAGTGTTTGTCAGCATAGCACCCTTTGTATTGGGATCTTTCACCTCCATCATGAAACTCCTTGGAATTCCTGTGCTCTTTTTAATTCTGGGAACAGACTCAAAATTTTTGTCCTGTTAAGAAAAGAAATGCAGACATATCCCACCTTCAGATTTAAAATGAGATTTCAATGATTATTTTAAGCAGCAAAAGCCTTCAATCTTCTCCTTTTACCTAGCGTAAGGGTTGCTCAACTAAAATACTTATTTTCCTACATGAATATAGCCAGGATGTTCCAAAGGCTTGAGCAGCGTTTTGAACTCAGTCAACATTCTTTGGCTTAACTTCAGGTTCCTTAAGGGTGAAATATCCCCCAGCTCACCATCCGCGCAGAGACGAGACACAAGCCCGCTACTCCTGCACAGCGCAGCTCAGAGCGAGGGCCTCATCCGGTGCTCTGAACCACTCACTGGGGAAACTTCTATTCACCATCTGTGTGTGATGCTTGAATTCATACCTCATGCGTATACATTCAGTGACTAACGTGATAAATGGCATGAATACTCAACCAGAGACTCGTGTCATTAAAACACGCAAATATTCAATAGATGGGGTCAACAGAAACATCTTCTTTTTATATGAAATACTAAAAACTGTGAACTGTCATTAGAATTAAAAACAGAGAATTTTTTCCAATAATATTGAAATATATCAAAATATACATGAAAGTTCAGAGAAAGATCTATAGAAATCTTTAATGCCTATGACCTAGAAAAAAGGAAGTTTTACATTTATAATTCCAGGTTTCCCTTGAATTTTGAAAGGTTTTCCAATATTGTCGTATAACTTCTGTATTTCACCCCAAGAGAAACAATTCTTAATACGAATATTCATGTATTTGTTAAGTAACTGCCAAGGTAAAAAAAATTAAAAACTAAGGAACACCAGAAGTCCCCCACAATCTTACCCCATTTGTTGGGCAGTTCTTTATATAGTGGCCGGGTTTTCCGCAACGAAAGCAAGTATACGATGGTGGAGGTGGACCCAAGGGTTTCTTCATGTAACTAAAAGTTTTTTGGGAAAAAAAGAAAAAGGCATGCATGTGTGTCTCTTGTTAAACCAAACATCGCTACAATTTTTCCATAATCTTCAAAGAACAGATTTGACACTGTCAACACTTACTTGATTGGATCATATTCATGGCCAGACTGTGTCATCATAGCTTTTATTTTATCTTCTTCGGAAGCATTGGCTTCAGCCAGATTGGCAGTCTGTTTAACAGGTAATTATTTGACACACACATTAGAAACACATTTAAGCCCACACAGCCAAAGACAACACCACTCATCCAATCCTGTAAAGAGCAGCACAACGCTAGCTGAGGTTGCATGAAAACAGCTGCTTATATACAATATATTTGTCCTGAAGATTCTGGGGAGTCCTTACGCCATTACATGATGTTTATGTGCCTGTTAACCTACTTGAAAAGAGCATTCTTGGGCACTCCAAACCTTAGGCTCTGTTTGTACCTTACATAAAAGACTTGTGTAACCAATCCAATTTTCTTCAAAGTGGACTGAAGCTATGTGTAGAAAAAAATATACTATCCAGTATTTTTAAACTGATTTTTAAGCTCCAGACTATTTGAAGGAGAAGATATCCGCTGCACGTTTAATTGAGAAATACGTATGCAAGTATCATTATTTACATTTTGCAGCATTAAAAGGACACGCAACTTAAGAGTCAGGGAAGCTGTTTTTGCTTGCTGAAATGCAGCTTCTGACACAGAAGCATTAAAAGGAATCAAGCTTTTTATAGTCCCTCAGCAAGACAAAAAATTATTTTCAGCAGCAATTTGACCACCATGTGCTGTGGGCAGTCCAGACTGCATGTCCCCCCCCGCCTCAACTTCTTCATATTAAAGTGACTGAACTACAGTAAGCAAAACCTGCAGTTTTTTCCAGTTGACCGTGTCCTTTTAACACACAAACTGTAATATAAACCTTATGCAGAACTAGATCTTCAAATTATTGAAGCCAGGTGATTTTTTCAAGAGGCATTTGTTAAAATGTTTTTATTACACACTAAGTCCAGATACAAGCAGGGTCTAAGGGAGTGACTGTAAATTATTTGGACCTTCAAGCACCTATCATTCAGATCAACCACTCATGTTTTTGTTTTTATATGCATTCATTCACAAAAGCAACCAACTAGTTTCAACATTTTATTAAATGGTTGTTTCATATACACAGTTTTTTCTCAACAGTAACATAATCCAGGTCGACAGCTATGAAACCATTTCCATTAACATTTACAGAAAACTTTACAGATATTTGACTAATTTGTTTGAACCCAAACGGTTTACAAAATACATCCAAAACCCACAAAACATTAGTAGGAATAGACCAAAATTCAAATATGGCATTTAATACATAGTAATAATAAAACAGAAAACTGTTAACACATTGCCTCCATGCTAAGCCAGTCTGCACTAAAGAGGTTAGAGTAAGTAACAGTTTTGAGCTGCTTTATGTTCTGTTCCTGTATTTTTCTGAAATGATTAAATTTTCTCAAAGCTTAAATGTGTATACCACTTGGACAGTTTTTCACATTTTAGAGTAAAACTTCACATGAGTTTACAGAACCAAGGACACGTTTAGGGACAGCACTAATGGAGACCAATTTATTTTGGTGGCTACCTTGCAAACTAATTTTTTTTTTCCAAATGTACACAATTTAATTTCTGCAGTGAGAGAGGGAAGAAGTTACCAGTGGGAAGATATTTCTCTTTCTTTGAAATGAACTCCAGCCTTTATTTTCAGAAGAATGAACTAGCTACTCTGCATTAGGCCCTGCCTTCTCTAATCTTTGTAACTTTAAAGACTAGTAATTTAATTGGCTAGCACTATGCCTTTTCACAAAGTGCAATCACTAGTGCTTTCCCAGACAAAGTTACACATTGTTGAGCAAAAAATGCAAGCAGTTCCATAGCAAAACATGGCATTACAACAGTTTCAGAAGGTCACATCTGCTAATATGCCACACATACACATTGGTATATTCCTATAAACAATTAGGTACATTTACACAATTTACAGTCTGCGTTCAAACAAATTAGATTGTGTTGTCCGCTGTATATATACTACAATTTATGAAATTGTGCAGCATTCAAAGAATGGATCTATAACTATAATGACTAGAAATTCAAAAATAGCCATGCAATTGTCCATGTTACAGAAACGCTTCTATTTTGGCTGTTGCAAACCCCCCTGAAATGTCCATAACTTACAGCCAATTAAATTCTTCTGTAAAAATTGTGTTAGTTTCCAACGCAAAATTAACGAAACGCATGAAAAACGGTAAGCAGCTTCTGAAGTGCTTCTTCTTTGTGTCTTGAAGATGAGTAATACTGCAACATTATGTTGAGGCTGATAAGGTACTCCCCTTCTATCTTCCCAAACTGGGAACTACTCTTTACAGGATAGTATCAAAATATACACACATTTTAAAGTTAAAATAAATACTTTAAATTATTAAAAATTAAAGTTTTGTTCAAATTACAACAGTTATCCAGCTATAGATCACAGTGTAAGATTTAAAAATACGAAGCAAACTTTTTTTTAAGTATTTGACAAGAATATATATATACCTTAGTAAGCTGGGCCAGAGAAATAGATGCAGAAGAGTCATCAATCTGTTCACAAAAAATTAAACACATATTCAAGTTCTACAATCAAAACATAGCAATCGTTAACCTCTACTGTAGTCTGAAAGTCTGCACTATATCCTCTGAGTGTTCCTGAAAGAGGCATTTCCAACCCAGTGCAATTTGTATTTGTTCAAAACAAAGCCCAAACCTATGACAGCTTAGGAGTGCCTATGTGGTTAATGAGAAGAAACTAAAATAACCAAACCCGCTTGAGATCAACTTATTGCTCCAGAATATCTCAGAGAGGGACCCTTGTCAAATGCTCACAACTGCTTAAAAGTCGAAGGGGTAAGGAAGCTGTCAGTTTTCAGCTAAAGAGGATTTAAAAAAAAATTTAAGTTTATTTGAGAAGGACGCATCACTACAGGAAACCTATTTTCATTGTAGTTTGTACAACAATCAGTTAATGTCTCATCATTTATAAATGCACATGGTTATGCTTTTATGAACACAGTAGTTGCCTGTCAGAATAAAGTACAGGCATATCAGCCCTGAAACATGAACTCTGCCCATCCTGTCAGGAAGTTTAAAAATGCCAAACTCCCCATACCCCACAAAACCCAAATAAAAACACCAATCCAAAACATCAGCCATAGAAGTAACCCACCACTTTGTCTAGAAAAAAAAACACCTGCTTGAATTATTTAAAGGTGTTTATCATGACAGAGTAGCCTATAAAAATTGAGAAATTTTATCAGATCACAGGCCATACTACCCAAATCAGTTTGGGAAGTGTGAGAATTTAGTATTTTCCTTGCTATCAGACAAAAAACAATTTTTAATAGCAGCCCACTACTAAATGAACAAAAGCAAGAAAGTGTAAAGCGTACTCTTGATGATGAAAACATGGATCCAGAGCACAACCCTGTAATTTTTTTCTCCACTGCAATCACACTCCTCCCTCCCAGCCACCTACTGGAACAGCTTGCAGGAATGAAGTCCTCAGGCCACTGGTTAGTAATGGACTGCAGTGTTCATTGAGAACTAATACTGAAGTGCAGTTTTTCCACAAGTAAAAAGGCTAACTTACCTAGCTCCTTTTCCAGTATATTGAATTATATTATGCCACAAGCAGCAGTTAAGCTCACACTAGTAAAACATTATCAGGAAGACATTCGAATCACTGCTTATTATGTCTTAAGTTGTTCAAAAACGTAGAATTAAATTTCAGAATGCAAGCTGAACAGCTCTCCTCAAGAGGTCACTGAATTGATCAGAAGAGAGATTAAAACCTTTCCTTGGAAAAAGCTCTTGTCCTTTATTACCTAATGTAGTGGAAGAATTCAAGGGAGCAGTTTTAGCAGTCTCTGGGAAAAAAAATATCTACAAGCAGAAGATGATTCCTCACTCCAGTTAATCATTCCTTCTCTACATGTTTAGGAAAGCACATACAACATTACTGTATTACTAATGAAAAAGTTCTTGAAAATGTGCCTTTGGAGAGGAACACACAGATCTGAAAAGAAACCTTCTTTCCATTGCAAGTCTTACCAGAAGATTCAACTTTCCTTCTTTTCAGAACATTTTGTACCTAGTTATGTTAAAAAGGAAGTCTGATGAAGTATTTTGAAGCTTCATGCTCCATATGCCACTTTTTTACATGTGGAAAAACAGGCCTATGTTCTCTCATGGCAGGCACAACCACTATCCTTCTGTGGTTTTTCAGAAGGAAACAAGAAATTAGGAAAGCTCTCTACTGGAGTCTAGCATTAAAGAGAGTCCAGTATTGACCAGTAACTGAAACATAACAGTTCATAAACTATTAATTAGTTCTTGTATTTTTTTTTTAGGAAGCAGTTATATGGCCTGTAGGTGACAGTCTAATTTCTTGAAGGAGGTGACAGCACTGCTTTCTACTAAACAGTTATCAAAAGCAGCAAATAGATAATTAATGTATGTTTGCCCAACAGCCATCTTCCAAAGATCCTACATTCTTTTTTTTTTTCCAATTCCTACTGAAGTATTTCCTGCCAGTCCCTCAAATCAGTCAAGTAGAAACAACATCTCCATGAAACTTGTATACAACCCTAAGATAATACTGCAGAAGAATTGAAAAAAAACACAACCAAACCAAAACCAACCCCACCCCCCCCCAACCAGAATCGACAGTCAATGTATTAACTCCCATTTCAAACAGAAGTCTAAACAGAAACTAACATAAAGCAAGTGGGAAAGGGAACAGAAAATAGGAGGAAAAGGCTAATCTTGCTGCTGGAGTGCTACATTTAAATTACAGTGGTTTCCTAAAACCCGATAGCTTGGCCAAACTAAAAATTCAGCCAGGAAGGATCACAGTTGTGCGTGACAGGGCTAAACAGTGGGCAAGACTCTCTGCATTTCGGCAGCCTCTAAGGACAAACACCAACTAGAGATCCTCGCAGTTACTGAAACAGTAATACTAAAACAAAAAGGACCCACTTTCCTGCTTTGGCTGTAGTAACAGTAGGACAGCAGCACAAATTTGGAAGTGTACAATGACAGCTAACATAAGAGCAAGACAATGAAGAAATATTCAAAGTATAAGCTTTTGTGCATCCTTTTTAAAAAAAAAATCTTAACTAATTGTAATTTTGCTGCTTTACTGTTCAACAATAATTGGCAAGCTTTCCAGTGATTTATTCCTACCACACTAAGAACCAGGTTCTGCTTTGAAATACATACAAAATATGTGTATTTAAAAAAACACAAGCAAAACCCCCACACTTTAGACCAAGACCTGAGTTAGCTTTAAGAATAAAGCTAATTGTGTCCCCACCACAAGAAGCACCTGAGGCTGCAGTGCTTTTACAGAGAGAGA